CGCTTTCCCCGCTCGCCCCCCCTCAACGGTCGGCCCCAACGGCCGGCGGCGCCGCGGCCGCCTGTGGGAGAAGCGGCGCTTCTGGCTGCGCGGTGGTAGGGACCCGCTCGACTCCCCGTTAAAAAGGGGGAAAAAAAAAAGCCTAAACCTCAAAACCCACCCACCAAAAAAAAATTGCAGCTAAGCCCTGGTACCTCCCATCCCGGTCAGAGTTTGCCGACTCCCTCTGCTCGTTGTCCGGCATGAGCAGCGGCCGGTGCTTGGGGATGAAGCTGGTACGTGTTTTGTCTCACAGCGTCCAGCCCCGCTTTGGATCTCCTGGTCCAGCTGATTTTGTAGCCTCTCAGGTGCAGCCTGAAAGAAAACTGCCTCATTATGAGGGGCTCAGGGTAGAAGGTGCTTTTGCAATATTATGCACTTGTGGGAAGTTTTATTTTACACTTGAGTTTGTAGCTGACGGTGTCTGGAGACAGCCATGCAAAAACACATGATATTGGTAAAATTGCATACAAAGAGACTCCACTTGTCTGAGCCCTCTCCCCTTCTCTCTTTCCTCAGTACTAAATCGATGCAAGTTGCTTTGCTAGGGCAGGAATTGATCTCTGGTGGTCTCCAGCTTGGGTATAAAGGCTTTTTGTCACCCTCATGGGCTACTGGGGGTGTGTGAGAAAACCCCCTCTCACAAAGCATTTGCCTGCATGAATAGCCTTATTGAAGGCGTTTGTGCAAGCAAAAGTTGTGTAATGGAGCCGGGAGCAGGCAGCGCTCGCTCGTCCCGGGAACTGTGGATCCGAACGTGCTTGACAACACCGGCTGTGGGAATCGGAGCGCTGCGTCCTGTGAGGTGCAGGAGTGAAGGTGGGAAAGAGCAGCAGTAACTGATTCCTGGCATCAAGCTCCAAAATCTGTTCCCGTGTGCATCGGGGGGTTTTGTGCAGCACTTGTTGGTTTATCAACAGCTTGAGTGAGCGCTGTAAAATGTTAATGGGCAAACGAGCCCTCCAGTCCCAACTTGATGCAGGGAGTAGAGGATGCTGTGGGAGACAGGTGGATCACCCTAGTTACTGTGCAAATCAGCTCTTCTCTTCCTCCAGTCTTCTTTTTTTTTAACTACTTGGATTGAGGTTCTGAGGTTACTGGCCATAATGAAAGTATGGTCTTGGGCATGAACGTGTAATGTGTGCAAGAGCGTGTGTTTGGAGGAGTAGCTTAACTGCAGGCAGGACTAGGGAATGACATCTATTACGTTTGAGCGGTGTTTCAAAAATGTTTAGAAGCTCCAGAAATAATTTCGTTAGGAAATCGCTCTAGCAGTTTAGAGAAGGAAAAAAACTCAATCTGGTAAAAGTTATTCCTGTAGACGTGCAGACAGGGATGATGACAGTTACTTATCTGTTCAGGTATGAACTCAGTTTTAGGTGTGATAGGGCACCTGAAATATGACAGCTTTTGCTTAGGAAACCAGTCTAAAAATGTAACATTAACCTTGTTTCATAACATATCTGTTATTTTCATAGCAATGTTAACTAGGTGACTTACAAGTAATGTTTTTATTTCAGAGCACAAAGTAATCATTGTTGGTCTGGATAATGCAGGAAAAACAACCATTCTTTATCAATTGTAAGTATAAACTTCAGATGATGTTTAATGTATTTCAATGTGTATTTCACGCATATGACTGTGACTTGTTTTAGCTGCTTTCCCTGCTTTTGTGCTTGGAGAACATTATGCTGAAGTTGACTGAACAGTATAGGTGCTGATGGATCCCTGCGTGTGTGTGCAGAGCGTGGAAAGGTCTGCACTTGGCCTGTATATATGAATGAGATTTTATTGAGAGCTTTTATTTATCGGATTACATTGCTGCTACTGTCTAAGTGCAATTAGTGTCAACTGTTTGCCAGCTATATAGAATATGATTGTATTGAGGATTAGCCACAGGTCAAGAGCGTTAAACTGCTCCTTGCCACAACATGTAAATATTAACAAATTGTCCCATTAGCTGGAGAACCAGTGAGGCCTGACTTTCCTCTGCCTGTGATTTGTGTCCTACATACAAGACTTACCTGATACCGTTTGTGGTGCAGGATGGAAAGCTGCAGCTGGGCACAGGATGGTGCTGAGCAGCCTGTGCTGCTTGGCCTGGGATGTATTTTGCACCACCAGTGGCTCCAGGTTCCTGGTAGCTGTCACCTTGCTGTGCAGCTTCTGGCCTTAGTAGTGGTGTTGACTCATATTTTATCCTGTGTGAACCTTGCTACTCATTTATGTGAAACTTGAACGCAGTTCATATCTCTGAGTCCTCTACTGCATTGTGATAAAGGAGCAGACATTTGTCTACAGACTTAGAAACATCTGGCTGGGACAGGCAGCTCAAGGTCTGTTCAAAAAAGAAACAGGTTTGCAGTTTCTCACGTTAAGTAGTCTGGTTGTATAAAGTATTTTGGTTCAGTAGCAGAGAGAACTCATTCTTGTTTGACCTTAAATTATAGGTTCTTTTCATCAAATTATGATCTGCCTTTGCTTTTCTCAAATGCAAACTTCATGTAGTATTTTCCGGCCACTTAGGTTGTAGCACACTGTGCAAAAAGAGTGGAAGAAGTGAAGGTGGCTATCATTGTTCAGGTTGGGAGGGAGAGATTAAAATATAAATAGGAAAAGAACACATTTTAAAACTACTAAGTGCTGCTGCTGAGGGTTATCCTCAGTGTATTTTAATGCTGCCTGGGTTTCCACTTCCTCTATGAAAGTCTCATGATCCTCCTTGTCTTCAATTTCTGCAATCTCAGCGTTCTCTTTTCACTTCTATGCAGCTTATGGCTGTCTGTCTTCTCTTCCTTGCTTGCTTTTTAGCCCTGAGGGACTTGCCCATTCTGTCTTCCCAAGTTCCCTTTTCCCAGCTCTGTTCCTCAGTTCTTCCTGCAGGCTCTTCCTTAAGCCCTACTCTGATCTCATAAAGCCCTCTCTTATTTTCTACTGTTTCTTCATGGAAGATATACATTGCAAGCAGGAGTGTGTTTAACTGTTTCTGTATGAGATGGGCAGAGATAACAAGCAGGAATAATTTGGTTAGTGTCCTGACCACTACTTTCATGATGTAGACACTTACAGCAGATCCTGGAGCAATAATTCTTATAACAGACACTGGCAGCTCTACAGATGCTTCATTTCCTGCTCTTCTCATATTCAGATCTTGTCCCTCCCTGGTAGCTGTGCGTTTTTGCTCTCTGATGACTAGAAATGCCATCGCGCTTCACATTTATCTTGTTTCAGTGAAGGAGAAAAAAACCCTGTCATATTGCAAGCTGAGAGATGCCAACAGTTTGAGTGTGAAAGATTGCAAGTTCAGCCAGGGAAAGGGGTTTCATGATTTGCCTTTTCTGACATCAAAAGAACTCTGCTGAAAACTGTTTTTTTATTACTATTATTTTTTTAATTCTAAAGTCCACCAAGGGCATCTTGCTGTATCACTGTTACTCTTATTTCCCTTTGTGGTTCTTTCTTCTAATGCTACTTTCCCTTATCTTTGCTTCCTTAAAATGCATCGTATGAGAAGGTATCTTGTATGCTCTTGAGGCACTGGGCAGCTAGGATTGCTTTTCAGAATACTAGACTGTCCTTGTATCTCTTCGTGGCTTCGGTCCTTTGCATCCTCTTCAGGTAATTTTCTGGCACTATTCCAAGTCTCAAGTTGCTGTCACTGTAACCAAAAGCTCTGCTAAAACTCCAGAAATTTTCATATAAAAGGATAACTGTACCAAGGTTATTGGAAAAAAAATAATCCAGTTATTTGAAAATGATTGACTTTTTTTTTTTCTTGAAGCTGCTTTTAGTGTTTCTAAAACACTGTTTAGTATGTCTAGCAGAGTAGAGTTTAATAACTTTAACTTCAGGAGTATCCAGAAGACACATTTGGTTGTTGTTGTTGATGTGAAACTGGTTGTCTCTGACAAAGTTGCCCCAAGCCTCTCTAAAACAGCATATTGTCTGCATTCATGTCTGAAAAGCAGCATAATTGAACTGTATAGAAGGGAAGAGAAAAGAAAGTTTGGAAATAGCACAACTGAAGGGCTTCTGAGTGGTGAAGAAAGTATGCTAACGGAGAAATACGTAGTATGTTTGGAGGAGTTGGATGATGAGTTGTTTTTCTGAAACCTTGGAAATCCTGTGGCTTAAACTGCATTCTTACAGAAAAACAACTGCACTCTCCCATCCTGCACTGCATGCCAATATCAGCTTGGAAAAATAAGAAGTGACTGCTTAAATAGCTTTTGAAGCACATGCTCCCTCGGCTTTGTAATTTAATTTTAATATAGTTTTGTTCAAAAATGCCCTCTCAGGCTGGGCATATTGAGGCATATAATTTTGTTCACCGGTTCCCTTCCTATTGTTTTTTCCCCTCCATGCATGTACACATACACTTCGTATCTATCTATTTGCTGCATAAAATGTGTTTGGTGGGATTCCCTGCGTGAGCTTTCTACCTCCAAATAGCTGTCAGCCCGAGTTGTTAGAGGAAAAGGTCAATGTGGAGCTCTAACACAGCTGGTAGTGCAGCTAACTTGGCAGCTTGCCTCAGTGGTGTCTCACGGAGTGGGTCTCTTCCTCTCGCAGCGCTATGAACGAAGTGGTGCATACCTCACCCACGATAGGCAGCAACGTGGAAGAGATCGTGGTTAATAACACGTGTTTCCTCATGTGGGATATCGGAGGGCAGGAGTCTCTCCGGTCTTCGTGGAACACCTACTATACAAACACTGAGGTAAGAAAAATGCTTCTTGTAAGATTCATTTTCTTCTGTCGGGGAAATATAATATATCTGAGGTTTGCCCCGGGCGCAGTTCCAGAAGATCGTGTTAACTATGTCTTGAATATTACTGTAGCTTCCGCAGATATTCCAGATACTCGTATTTTGATTTCTAAGTCTCCTTTATAGCAAGATGTTGTGCAGAACGACTGTGTATTGTGTGTGTAAGATGCATAATGTGGATTGCAGTTAAAAACATCTTGTTTGTAGAGGTTCTGTGCCTTGGTATCTTCTGCTGCCTTAGGGCAGATGCTCAGTGAGTTTTGGTGTTGCACATCCCCATGTTTACAGGTTCCCTCTTGTGGACCATGAGTGCAGTATCTCTGCACAAATACTCTGAAACCTGAGTAACCCATCACAGGACAGACAGAAGGTCCCAGAAATTCTTCAGAATTCTGGGAGCTCTGCCCTGCAGGATCCCACGACCGATTTATGTAAGCACCCCAAGAGTTTTGAGAATAGATGTTAGCAAGAACACTATAGCACAAGTACAGAACTTGGTTAAAATTAAGTCAGAGCTTCTCAGTCAACATGAACCGTGATTTTTTTTTTTTTTCTTCAGAATTCTGGGAGCTCTGCCCTGCAGGATCCCACGACCGATTTATGTAAGCACCCCAAGAGTTTTGAGAATAGATGTTAGCAAGAACACTATAGCACAAGTACAGAACTTGGTTAAAATTAAGTCAGAGTTTCTCAGTCAACATGAACCGTGTTTTTTTTTGTTTTGTTTTGTTTTGTTTTTCAAAAAAGGTCATTTTAAACCTTATTTTCCTGTGCTTCACTATGAGATGCTATGCCTATATCTGTATGTATGTTTCTGCACTTGAAGTATGTAGCTTGTGTTTTTGTGGTTGACTATCCAGATATCATGATGGGGTTAATATTTTGCTTTGTGTAAGGATGTGTGACAAGGAATATGTTATTCTCTGAAATGCTCGCTAATAACTTCTAACTTTCTATAGTTTGTGATAGTTGTTGTGGACAGCACAGACAGAGAGAGAATTTCTGTAACTAAAGAAGAGCTGTATAAAATGCTAGCACATGAGGTAAGTAGATATATACATTTTTTGTGTGTGTGTATATATATATATTTGTTGTGTATAAGATTTGGTTGTACATACATACTGAAGGAAGCATTGAGACGTTATTTGCAAAGGTTCAGACTTAGGCCTGCCAGCTGGAAGTAAAGACAGAGCAGAATGCAAGGAAGCCTTCCTAGTGAAGTCCAAGGCAAATGTAACTGGTTGCATTCCCTGGTGTAGGCTGCATCAGAGCTCTGCCAGAGGCTCTGTCTTTTGTAAAGCTCCCAATAAACTCGTATATTAATATGGAGTTACTGAAGTGAGCTCCTACAAAAGTAGCTTTTCACCTTCTGAGTGCTTCAGAGAAGTAGGGGTTAGGACCTAGAAATGACTTCTGTGTCTTCGATCCTTCAGCTTGTGTTGTTAAAGACAGGTTACAGGGCTACCCGTTTTGGTCCTGATAATGCCTGAGACCTTAGGTCATCCTGTATCTGCAGAACAGAGGTTCTTGTGGCAAGAGTGAATTGTTCAAGCCCTAGTGCCACGCACTGTGTCAGGGGATGTAGCGTGCTTGAAAGTAGTCATGCTTTTGAATTCCAAACAGCATATTAGAAAAAAAGAATCCTGTTCTACTAAAGTCACAGCAGCTGACAAGAGTTGGCATTTGGGCTTTTGAAAGATAGGACCAAATATGCTTCAAATCTCCCTCTGCCCTTTCCTTGTATGCATAGCTATTTACTAGCAGCAGCAGTAGGAGTAAAACTGAGCAGATTTTCCTGGAAAGCCAAACACGCTTATTCAGTAATAGTCAAGTAATAAATGTGGTAATTGCAGAAAAGAAAAAGGCAAAAGAGAAATTCTTAAAACTGTATGAGACAGTTCAGTAGTAGTAGTCGTGAATGTTTTGGAATGACAAAATGAAAGTATAACCTGCAAGCTTGTAAAGACTCTCTTTAAATTTGAGCCCTGTGTCAGGCCTAAAATCGAGCTAGCTCTGATCCTGATTCGTAACTTCTGCACTTCTTCAGCGTGTAAGTCAGGGAGCAGCTATTGCATGACCTTGGACTCCTTCAGGGGAGCTTATTGTTAGTAATGAAGTGGTGAGTGCAGCAGGACTAGAGCCTTGATTTTATTTATTTATTTATTCAACAAGGCGCAAGTTTATATAAACTTGCAAGTACAAGTTTACATACGCTTGACTAATATTGGGACTTGCAAGACAAACAAGTTAACGTGAACTGGATCCTTTTACAAGATGGTACCAAGGGCACTTAAAAGTGTCAGAATACACAGGTGTGCATGAAATACATGGTGTTACATCCCAGAATATTACCTCTGTGTTTAAGCTGTAGCCATTCTTTAGTAGAAGGCTGTAGGAAGGGCAGAGGCTCTGCATGCACTTCCTTTGAGCTTTATCTTCTCATTAAAACTTTGCTGCAATTTGGTAGCCTGTAGCCTTTTTACTTAGCATTTTCACATGATGCGCATAAGTGGATAAATTTCAATAAAGTAAACACAATTTAAGATAGGCTGTTCCCAGGGAATGTGGTAAGCATATGGAGGGCAGGCAGCCTGTCTTGTGCTGTGTTCTTGTGGCTATCTTGCACAGCTTTGTGTTAGCTGGGCTACTGAAGGCTCCTGCTGTGTCGTCTTGTTCTTGTTTTTCTTTGTTTAAAGATCTTCATTGTCTTAGTGCTACTGCTCTGCAGCCACCTGAGCAGGAGAGCTGGTGTAAAAGTGGCTGTGAAAGCACAGGGGAGGAAAAGCCCTAGATCTGTAAGGTCTGGGTTCCTTGGTTGTGATGGAGAATTACAATTGGCATCAGCAGGTTGTTGTCATACAGCCTGTTGCTGTCATTCCTCAGATTTCCAAGCTGTACTGCTTGGCCTGTTGAAAGTGTTAAACAAAATCTGTATGTTCTTTTTCACCATGTAAAAATGAAATGCAGATGGTGTTCATGGGCTTACCTTTAAATTAGGTGAGTTTGGAACTCCAGGCAGGGTGATTGTCCTTGCTTTGTGGTGGGAGGTTATTTCAGTGCCCAAGAAGCGTCCCTCTAAGAGTAACTGTGCTTGTTCTCCTCAATCAGGATGTTTTGAACACATTCTGCTAACTTAATGGATGCAGTGACATTTGAAAATAACTTTGGTACTCTTTCATAAAATGAAAGTGAAAGCTGAATATGGTTTAAACAGCTTTTTCCATGAAATCTTTGAAAATCTTTTATTTCTGCTAACCAGTTAAATTACTCTGCTTTTTATGGCCAAATTTCATTGCTCAGGTGAATTCCAACTATTTTGTGGACCACTGGGAATTAATTTTGTTATTGCTAAAAAAGCCTACTGCTTCTATATAAGTGCATTTATATAGAAGTGAAGTGGAAGCCTTTTTCTTTAAGAGGGACTGATTTCCAGTAATATGTATTCGTACTAGTGTAGTTCCAAACAGCTTGAGATAAAATATATTACCCCTACAACTGCCATTCTCTGAATTCTGCTCGTACTGATGTTTGAAGTATTGCTTAATCCATAAAGAGACAGTTCTCTGTTTGCAATGGGATTGTTCACAGAAAACTCCCATGTTTTGATTCTGAAATCACTGTGGTGATTTTTAAAAAATCTGGTGCACAGAAGTCGTTGCTGTGGCTTGCCTTCCGCTCTGCTGGGGAAACCGTGGTGCTTCCTACCTGGTGGAGTCTCCCTCGCAGCAGCTGCACATAGGAAGTGCAGGAGGGCTTGGCAAGGCGTTCCCGGTGTTCGCGGTGTCCTGCGCGGTGAGAACTGCCCTGCAACCAACTACCCGGGTCCTGCGGTCGGTCTGGTGAAGACCTTTGTGTCTTGTGGTGAGCTGTTCTTGATAAAAGCCAGACACGGCAAAATGCCGCAGCTTGGCTCCTTGGGATACAAAGGTGGGAATGGCCTGCCAGGTCAGGGTTACCTGGGAGACCTGGCTGTTAAGCAAGGTATGGAGTTACTGTAGATGTGTGGTACTGTGCTCCCTGCAGAGCTGTGGGGTTCCTCTGCTCCTCGTGGAGGCAACAAAATAATGCATGTGGTGCATCTTTTGGTCCGCTGGATCAAAAGATTTTCTGAGGTTAGATACTTCCTGCATGTGGCCTTTTTTGTAGTGCCAGGGCCGAGGATTGCCTAGTTTGCTTTAACGTCCTTCACCTCTGAGGGCTGGCTCACAGCCACGCAGCTGCAGTGAACCTTGGAGAACCAAGTGGCTCCACCAGTTGCCTTTTGAAGCGTGAGAAAGGCAGCAGGCTTGATTGGAGAGACGAGGTGGGTCAGGGCAGGGAAGTATCGTCTTGGCTCCTGCAACTACCTACAAGTTGCTGATTTTTTGCATGATCATCACCTTGCATTGAGATCTTACCAGAAATGGATGAATGGCTTGGAGTTTCTCCAGTTCTAGAAGCTCAATGGGTCCATAAGCCCTCCTGCTTGTCCCTTCGATTTGGTTACCTTGTACTGCTGTAGTGGTCACTGACCTGGGCTCAGTCTTGCACTCTTTGGTCCTTCCCCAACAGACAGGGTGCTTATGGTGGATATACTGTTTAAAAACTCCAAAGGAGTCGCAACTGGCCATGGGGAGCATCCCGGATTTAAATGTCCAAGGCACTGGGACAAGCAGATGCGGTTGGGGGCGAGTAGTTTTATTTTGAAAATGAATAGGGTTGAGCCTCGAAGCTTCCAGATTGCGAAGTCAGAATATGAACTCAATATTCAAGTTACTGGCCATCTAAGCATGGGAATGGCAGTGTTCACAAATGCTCCCAAGCCAGGGTTTTGGCCTAGTCAGAGCTCTATTGAAAAATATGCTTAACTGTCCCTTGGGATTTTATCTTTTTCTTTTTTTTCCTTCTCCTTCTCACTAGGACTTGAAGAAAGCAGGTTTACTGATCTTTGCTAACAAGCAAGACGTTAAAGAGTGTATGACAGTAGCTGAAATCTCTCAGTTCCTGAAACTAACTTCAATTAAAGATCACCAATGGCACATCCAGGCATGCTGTGCTCTAACTGGAGAGGGGTAAGGATTTTCTGCTGGAGGGAGATTCCCCGGTCTGCTGGATCACCTGATCATAACTGGAGATAGCTTCATTCTTGAGAAATACTGGCACCTGAAGCTCTCCCTACAGATCACATAATGAGATCTAGCAGTGTTAGGAGTCAGTTGATTTTGGAAATGATTCCTCCAGTCAGAATTAAGAGATCTTGGGAAAAGTTTAATTATTGTTCTTGTTTGTATAAGTTGTTCATATAAGATCTTTAAAATTATCCCGAGGAGTGTATGTATTCCTTAAATTTACTTATCTCTCTTTGTTGACAGACTGTGCCAAGGACTCGAATGGATGATGTCAAGACTTAAGATCAGATGATTTTTAATGACCTGTTTGCACGGACGTTGCTTTAAAAGAAAAAAAAGCTGTACCCATGATTACCTTGACGGTGGCAGAATTAATGGGTTAGATGTATTTATAATGAACTGATTTCAACTTCATTTTCTACATAGATACAAACACTTATATAAATTAAGACCATTTGGCAAAAAGACGGACGCAGTTGATGGCTCCGGTTTGGTTTCCCTTTTTTTTTTCCTTCTCTGGGGGTGCATGTAAGAGCTGTGATCAATCTTCTTTTCAAGATACAGCCGCTGGGAACAGTCTGATGCTGAGCATGGTGAAGACGAAGTGAGAGGAAGGAGCTTTTAATTTTGAGTTTTATTATTCCATTGTAGTCCTCTCTAGTTGAAGATGTTGGCTTCATTATTCCAGTAAATTAGCAAGCAAATCAATGGCATAGATATCAACTTCTCAGTATTTTTAAAGTTACTGATGTTACAAACGCAAAAATATTTTCCTGTATGTGTACTGTACATATTTGTGTATATTTATACCTCAGTTTTAGGTTAATTGCAATCTGTTCAGACAAGTGTGTAAAACTGAATCAGTATGTTGACAATAGTACTAATATTTGACATTTCCAACATGTCACAACTTCTTTTCCTTTGTTATCTGTATAGCTGTAATGTCCATCAGACAGTTGACTCACTACAACTTTATAAAGCAAATTCTGTCTTAAGACAATTGCTTGTTTCTCCCATGATTTTTGTCTCATTAGGGAAGATGCTATAAAGGATTGGGACATATGGATTGAATTTTAAACTATACTATACTACCGTATTGGCAAGCAAGAGTGGAAAATTTGCCAGTTTAAAACAAAACATTTTATTGTAGTTGTCGTTGGATTAGATGAATTTAAAAAGTGCTTTTCATTCTGTTCTGTGCTATTGCTTTTTATTTTCTGCAGTATGTGCTCATTTATGATTGAAGCCTAGTAGAATTTCTTTTAGCTTTCAATAAGGGAAAAATGTCCTTTTTTTTTTTTTTTTCCCCCTTAGCCAAAGAAGAGACATGAAAGTATGTTTAAAAGTCCCACTGGAATATTACCAAACTACTCTGTACTAAGTGTTTTTTCAGAGGAAAAAGCACATTCTCTCTGGTATTCCAAAATGTGTGTGTTTATAGTGTGCTGTGGATTGAGCTGGGATGGGCAGGGAGCACCATAGATTACACTACTGGGAAAGTGATGGTTCCACAGAAGTTCCTGGTGATACTTCTTGAAATAACTCCTTGCATGATCCCCAGGTGAGTTATTAAAAAGTGCCAGGACACTATGTGGTTATCTTTTCTCACCTTATTATTTAGTGGGATGGGTGACTATACTGAATAAGTTCAAAATTATCATTTTAAACATTGCTGGCTTTTTGTTAGGATGAGAGTTGGATGGTTTGAATTACTAGTTTTGTGGAAGCGTATGCAGCCTTAATTGCAGACTTTTATGCTTGAGACGTATTTGAGGAGTATCGTAAAATGAAATAAAACTTTGTTTAAAATGTCCTTCCCTTTCTTAGCTCATGAATTTGATAAGGACGGAAAAGACATTTTAAAGAAAAGCTTAGTTTGAACTTTAAAGTGCTTACTGACAGCTTGTCTTTGATTACGTGGTAGTGTCATCGGTCCGCCTGCCTGCCTGCTTTTCTGGGGATCATGTTGTGAATTTGTGGAGGGGCAAGAGGGAAGACAATTTAAAAAGTCTGTATTTAATAAAGGCAGGTAAAGCATTCAACTTCTTAATAGATTTTTGGTATCTATTATGTTAATGGGTTAAGGGAACTGCTGTCTTTGCTAAAACATTTCAATGTGTACATGCATATGTTTATCGAGCATGCACATAGATGTTGGTGTTTAACTGGTGTGTTGCAAAATGTATGTTTGAAGAAATTAATGCAAAGACTTTTTCACTCTGCCTGATGGTATCTACAAGAAACAAGCTCTTTGCACACCCGCATATAAAACCAAATTGTATGTTTTATAGTCTTAAATCAGATTGGCTTATTAGCATAAGTGTTTGGGTTTCGAGTCTTATGTCTTCCATCCCTTTAAAATACTTCACTGTAGTAGTTTTAAATTCTGTATTTTGCCGGAGTGCGTGAGGGTTTTGTGCGTATGTGTTAAGCAAACAAGTTGTTAATGGAACAAAAATCATGGAGCAGTATTCTGAAACCTGCTTTCTGCTGGAATTTGCTGCTTGCTTCTTTGATTAAATTTTTAGGAGTTGGTATGTTCATATCATGAAAATGTCATGTTTTTTTTTCCCCAGGTATGGCTGTGTTGCAATAAGGTGTTCACTGCCTACTCTCACCTGCTTTTTCCTCTCAGTGTTCTGGCTATTCGGCTTTCTGTGACCTCTACAATAACACACAGTCTTATTTAATTTTTGTTTCACAAGTGGCAAGACCCTAGTGGGAAATGGGAGCAGCAGTGTACATTGAAGGCTGCTGCTAAAGCAGTGTTTTTTAGGCCCTGTAGTGCTCATAATCCAGAAAGCAGTTAGAAGATAGCAATGCTGAGCAGAAAACGTTAGAGCCCTGGATGGGCGCATGTCGTATCGCTTGTAGTGCTGAGGTTTGCAGCACCGAGGAGATTGGAGGGAAGATTTGCTGTTCCATAGCTAGGGTTTGGTGTAGCCAATTCTGAGTGAAGCATCATGTGCCTGTGGTATTCCTGATTGGGCTGCAGGAATCGGCAGAAGAAATCTCTTAGGGTTTTTTTTTTTATCATTTTTAATCTTTTAAGTGCTATTCCACTGTTTCTGAGAATGATGGATTTTGTCTGTGGTATCTGGGTGGTGATGCTTTGTCCCCTCCTTGGTAAAGAGGTGACAATCCACATTCTCACCTTTCAGGACTCTGATTTTGCTTGAAGTTATATGCAGAGATTCTCTCAAAACAGACTAAAAGCAAAGTATTTGCCTCCTTATTTTGCTCCAAAAGTTTTCTACAAAAACTCTGCCTAAAGATGTTTCATGAAAACAAGCATATTTACTCCAAATACTGAAGAGATGATCATTGGCAGAATTTTATGAATCTGCAGCCTCGGGTCGTGTTGTAGCTGAGTGGTCTTTTTTCTATACACCTTGCCTTTGGTCAGCTTGATTTTTATTCATTTTTTTGACTTAGGCACTTGGGAGACCAGGGGAAGAGTAGAGAAACTTCTGAACACACAAGCTCTTGGTTTATGCTGTTCTTGTTTACGGCCCTTTCTTTCCCCCTTAGGACAAGTCGCTCTCTTGCTTAACTCTGTGACTTGTAAAGGAAATTTCACTTTATATCAGTGCTATTTTCAACTCATTCACTAACAGTTTAAATACCACTGTCTTAACAATGATCCTTGAGTTTGTTTGAGTTTGTTTATTCGTATTGCTTTGGTGTTTTCATCCTGTGTGTGTGGAGATGTCTCTGCTTTCAGCTAAAACTGAAGATTTCTTATTGCTTTGCTCTTCAGATAATTCACCCGTAGTATATTACACAGGAAAGGGATGGCTTCCTAAAAACTGAGATTGATGCTGCAGAGTGCCGTCTTACTGGCAAAAATAGAGCAGAAAACCATGTATTTCAACAACTCAGTATTTTAAGATGTTTGTTTTGGGTTAGCAAGTAGTTTTAACAAAACAGCTGTCACGTATGCTGCCCCTGTGATCTGAGCATTAAGTGGGTTTTTAAATGGTGAGGAGAGGTGGGATATAGAGCTCTGGAAATGTGAATGGGATGTAGTAAGCAGCATGGCTCTGGTTTTCAGGGAGGCTCGGGAGCTGCAGAACGCCCCGAGCGAGTGCCTGGCAGGCACCCAGTACAGTCTATGCAGCCCAAGTGCCTAAAACTAACCCAGTAGTCAGTTTTCCCTTTGTATAGTACAACTTCCATTTTCTTTAAAAATAAGATATATTTGTATAGAAGCATCTAGTTGTGTTTAAATGAGTATTCTTTCCCCTCACTACTACGATATCTAACATGGTTTATGATAAATTTATTTTTTACGAGTCTTGAAGCTTTTTAGTGTCTACATTCCAAGCACTTTACCATTTATCCAACATTATATAGCTAGCTTCCTTTGTGAAAGGAAATGCTAAATTTATCCTTACAACAGATGGGTTAACCAGAAATTTTTTCAGGAAGCTATATTTAAATCACTCAGTCCAGGAATACTTGGCCTTGTAAGCAGCCTCATGTAAGCGGTTACTTTCCAATTGGCTAACAAAGCATTAACTTTGCTACTTGCAGACAAATTCTGTCTGCAAATATTTTTATTTCAGCTGATTGAAATGAATGTAATATTAAGCCTTTAAATGGTGCGTTATTGAGCATGATAGGATGAGAGTGGTGTGATGTTACAAAGAATGGCACTAAGGAAGAAAAAATGTCTTTGCATATTGTGGTATTTGTTATAAATACAAATGTGACTTGAATATAATTGTTGCAGTGCATATATTAAACATACATAAGTAAGAAATTATCGGTGGTTGCCATTGTAACTTTTTTACAATGTTCTCTAGAATCACAAGCAGAAATTGCGTTCTTGCCTTATTAAGGTTTATCAGTTAATTTTTATAAATGCTGTTATACAGAAACGATTTTTGGAAACTTTCTTCACATCAGACACTGGCCGCTACTGGCAGCAGGAGCGTTCACACGTGCCAGCCGGGCCCTTTGGGTTATCTTTCTTATGAGTAGGCACACCTTTTCTTAAGCTTTTCCTATTTGTAAATTTAGAGGACTTGGCTGATGCTGAATTAACCTAAAATGCTGCTTTACCTAGGTTATAAATCATCTTCTGTAAAATATGAGCTCAGTGTTATTCTCATCTGAATGCTTCTCGTATCCAACACTGTGAAGGGGAGAGTAGAAGAGGCCAAAGAAAGGCCTTTTCTCCTGCAAATGCATTCAAGGAATGAAAAACAGAACCTGAAGCTCGAAAGCAGGAGCCCTTTTATGGCTGATAAGTTCAAGACTGGTACTATGTGATGGAGGAATGGCAACCGAGCCTGTTAAAGCTGTCAGTTTGGATAATGCTTATTTTG